CTACACATTGGCTACAAAGTAAGCATACCACTTTTGCCTGTAGTTTTAAGGGCAGTCACAAACTCCTGCCATTTGAATAACCAGATATTCTAGCAGAAAGGTTTTGGATTTTCAGGTCTATCCAATGAATGGGACAGCAAGTTGGGACCAGTACAACGGGGCATATCGGAGAGGCATGTCATCTGGATGCTTCTGATAACAAGGCACAACAGGGAAGTGGCTAACCCTGGGCTCTATGCTTAATGGTGCTGAGCACCTCATGCAAGGGGGCTGAGTGCCCTAAACTCCCAGGAGGTAAGAGCACTTGGCACCTTGCATGAGCAGGCCCAATGCTTACTTTTGAGTGGTGGATTTAGGTTAGAAACTCCCCTGCCCCAGAGATGAATGGAGAAAAGTCACGCTTCAGTGATGATATTTTAGATGGTGTGTTTGCAGAACGGAAGGACAACAGTATATTTTTGTCCTTTCTGATGTGCTGCTTGTTCTCGTCATGTCCTGTCTGGGCTGTTTATTTCCTCTCCCTAAGTGAAGCACTTTCCATTTATTAGTGTAGAATATCCCTTTGTTCCTTGCAGCCTTCTCTGCTCTCATCTCTTCAGGGCTCTTTGCAGGGTGGTTCTGTCCCCGAGTGTTTACTGCTTTCAAAACTTGGTGTCATGTGCAATTTTGACTACAGCTGAACTTACACCAAAGTGAGGCTTAACAGAGAACAGGCAGTAGGTGTGCAGCATGCAGAGAAGTTGTAATATATTTTCTTTTTAGATTAGCTAAGCAAAAAAAGCCTCCGGACACCTTAAGAGTCCTGGGCTGGGCTGATACTAGGACTCAGGGCTGTGAGGCATCTCACCACCACCTGCGCTTAGCATGAAGCAGTTTTGCCTGATGCCTTCTGTGGCTCAGCTCCCTGAAACCAACAGCCTCAGGGCACCGACAAGCACCTATCTGCAGGTCCCCGCAGACCTCGCCATCTCTGCGCAGGCTAGTGACAGACAAATGGCAACCCCTGAGCCCCTCTGCCAGCCTCCCCCTCAGTGGCATCTGGCCCCTGGCATAGCAACTTACAGAAATGACCAGGTAAGTTCTCCCAGAGGACAACACACACACAAGCTTACTTGAGTCAGCTCTCAGCTCCCTTTTAACAACACAGTGCTGTCATTTATTTATAGTGAAAACAAAAAGGTTTATTAACAAAGGTTATGATTTCAGGAGACAGTGAGCAAGGATAGTAAGAATAACTGGTTACATGTGAAACCGTCCTTTGTGTTCTCTCAATGATGGATGAAGTGGAGTCCTCTTGCCTTCCTCTTGTTATCCAATAAACCTTTGAACTACACCCCTTTGCAGTGCACCCCCAAGGAAAACGCTTCTGCCCCCTTGCTTGTTCTCCAGTGTGCTGACCCCCAGGTTGATTTTTGCATCCTCATATTGATTTGGAATGCAGCTGTGGCTCCCATTGTGTATGGCTTACAATGATTAATTCATGTGTCAGTTAGCTAGCTGGACAAACACTTCCAGTCTGAGAGAGAACCTGTCTCTGCTGGTGACTCAGACCTTGATACACTTGCAGCATATAACACATAACTTTTAAACTATCATCTGTGCATGATCTTAATGACCAGTGTGTCACCGGCTTTCATTTGATATCTCACACAACGTTCTTTATAGATAAATACTATGGCAGCCATGTGTTGGGCGTAGTGAGTTTGTCAGACCATTGCCAGTAATGCTTCTTATCCACACCTTTCTTAACCGCAGTTCAAGAGGCCGTACATCAGGCATAACAGGGCATATTAAAGATTAGAGCCTAGATCCCTTGCAGCCTGATAAATCCCAACGTTGATGCAGAGAAAGTTAATCCTTTCCCACCGTGCCCTGTCTTCTCCTTTTCTTCACATAAAGCCAGAGCCTACCAACCTTACGCATGCTGAATAGTAATTTATTCTGTGAGCTGTCCATTGAAATTAATGGGACTACTCACAGAGTAAAGACTAATCTACACTTAAAATGTAGGTTGACATAGCTGTGGCACTCAGGGTTGTGCAAAATGCTATAGTTATGTCAACCTAACCCCTGGTGTAGACACAGCTAGGTGGATGGAAGAATGCTTCTGTTGGCCTAGCTACTACTGCACAGGGAGGCGGAGTTCCTACAGTGACAGAAAAAACCCTTCCATCGATGTAGATGCAGCCTACGCTACAGGGTTACAGCAGCATAGTTATGGCACCATAGCTATGCCTCTTTATTGCCCATAGTGTAAACATAGGTAAGGTACTACTCAATATGCGAGGACAATGTGGCCCTCAGATTGCAAGCTCTTTGGGACAGGCCCAGGGACTGTCTCCTGCATCTTGTACAGCACAGAGCACGTTGTCAGGGCTTAACAGGTGATCAATGTGACTCACCTGCCTTGAACGAGCTTGAGGTTTGGGTAAACAGAAGACGTGCCTCTGAACATGCTGCTTGTAAGCCACATTTGTGCCGTGGAAACGCAGCTGCATGGATTTGGGAGCTGCTGTTTGTCTACAGTGTCAGAGCTAGTGTGTTCTCTACACTATTACTGCTACCACTGGTTTAAGCATACAGGGCTCATGTGTTGTCAGAATACAGTGGTAAAAATACTTGAACCCTGCACTGTTGCTGGTCTAACCTACACAGTGCTAAATGCGGAGCGGGGCGGGGTGGGAGAGAGCCCACTACACTAGGGCTCCAAGTGCTGCTCACACCAGAGGAACTGAGCCAGCAGGAGCAACAGTGGGGAATTTTTCAAAACTGTCCCTCTTGTAGGTAGGGTCTTAGTGTAAACAAGACCATGGGGGCGAACATGGATGCTTAATGCTGTCTTCTCAGAGAGGGAGGGGCAATCTTTCCTCACACAGGGTTTCACCTTTCAAAGAATCTCTTCTCTGTGTTTTTGTGGGATGGCGTCCCTCTAAAAAGGTGAAAAATTGCCAATCAAATTCCTTACCTTCCATACAAGCAACACAGGAGAGTATTTGCATTCCTGCAGTTTTCAGAACTGAATTTACTGTTCGCCACCTGTTCTGCTTGTTTTCTTTTTTCCTGTTGCTCTCTCCTTAGACAGACAATGGTCACGTGCGGGTCATTTGCGATTTTATTTTGTCCCTAATGTCACTTTTTGGTGCTCGTTCAATGGCATCATGCTGAGCCATGTTTATTTGTCCGGGGGGAGGAGAGAAAAAGGAATCCTTTTGTCATTTGAAAAAGGATTCAGAAACATTTCTGTTGATCTTAGGGAGGAAGACCTCATGGTTAAGGCACTGGATTGGGACTCAGGAGACCGGGTTATATGTCACAGCCCTGCTGCAGATTTCCTTTGTGGCCTTGGACAAGGCATAGCCCATCTCCGTGCCTCAGTTTCCTTATCTGTAAAATGGGACACTAATACTTCCTTACCTCCCACTCCTTAAATCTGTTGGTCAGTTCTTGGATCCTACAGTGCTGGTGGTCCCTGAAGTACCTCAATGGATTATTAGTTTAAAAGAGTTTATCTTTACAAAACCCAGATTTGGGGGCAAATTCGAGCTGAAAGTGACTCCTTATTGTGAAGGATGAGAGCATTATCACTAGCACCGTGACTGAGCAAGGCAGGGGCTTGTGTTACTAGATATCTGCTCGGCTTTGCTCAGAGGCGATAGGTTCAGTGTGCTCTTGATTCAACTTTGCATTGCAGAATAATTCATCTCCCAGGGGTGCCAGGAGGATTAGTTAAGGTTGTAAAGTGGTTTATGTATGTCCTAAGAATAGTGCTATTTTCAGATCAATTTTTCCACATCAGTGACTTTATTGGTATGACAAAGGGCACGCAGGTGTTGGCACAGTTAACTCATCAAGGGCCCAACTTGCTGTAATTCTACTGACTTCAGCATATTTACTCCAGATTTACATTGTTGTAAGTGAGAGCAGAATCAGGCCCCAAGTCTCTGTGCATATGACCAGTTTAACAACAGTGATGAGGCAGGGTCTGTACATCTGGCGCATTGCTCAGTTTCTGATGTGACTGCCCTGGATTATTAGACTGGTCCTGCTATATGGTATGTCTCCTTCTCGCAGTTGTACAGAGCTTTCTTATACTGTATGCATTCCTCCCAAGTGTGGGGAAGGGATCTGGTATGTGTCATCCACATGTAAAGGCATACTTATTGCTTCATGGATCCTGCAATATGCAGACCCCTTTCAGGAGCTTTTGCTTTGGGGTTACGTGGATTAACCCTTGTTGGATTCTTATCTGGGAACCTCCTATCTTCCTGTCTCTCTCCCACACAGTCTAGGTAACTTGTGACTGATTTACGGAATGCCGCTGGCCCTAAAATCCTTCGCCAGGCCCTTTGTTCTGTAGGTTCCCTTGGCTTACAGTCAGCATAGTTTCTGTTAGGCCTGGTCTACGCTATAAACTTAGGTGACTCAGGGGTGTGAAAAACCCACCTCTCTGCTATGCCATAGCCATGCTGACCTAACCCCTGCTGTAAATGCAGCTAGGTCAATGCATAAACGTATCTGTCGTCCTAGCTACCATCACTCAGTGCAGTGGAGCTCCTACAGTAACAGGAAAATCACTTCCAACATTGTAGTCTGCATCTACTGCATGGGATTACAATAGCATAGCTACCGCTCTGTAGCGCCCATACGTATAGGCCTGGCTAAGGTACTATTCAATGTACCAGGAGAACCCAGGCCTTAGACTGCAAGCTCTTTGGGACGGGGACTGTCTCCTCCAGCTTTTACAGCACAGAGAGAGCCTGTTGTCAGGGTTTACCAGATGATAAACAGGCGATGACCTTAGCCTCCCTGACTTCTCAGCCCATGGATCTCCTAACCTCACACTGATGACATCTCCTAAGAGAGAAGCAGCAGGAGGAGTGGGGGTTATAATTTAAATTATCATCACACAGCACTGCAAAGGCCAATTACACAAAGAACAGCTTGAGTTACCTCCTCATGGGCTGATGGTCTCACCTGTATTCACTGCCATCTCTTTGCAGGGTATCATCAAGGCCTATAAGAGCGGCGTCACCCTCCAGGGAAACTCTACCAGTCTGGGAAGATGGAACTTTGTTGGCTCTTTCTTCTTCTCCGTCTCTGCGATAACCACCATCGGTAGGAGATCTCTGCTGCTTGTTGTGGGTAACCTGGGTGGAACATGGATGGCATGGGAATAATCACAGGAACACACCTTGCTCCCTCCTTTTGAGACACTGGCTTTCCCAGCCACCGGTATTCAAATAAAAGCAAACTGCATGCAGATTCCAAGCCCATTTGTCTCTCGTGAACTTCTGCCTGACTCCCAAGCTGAGCTTTGTGGAGGGCCTGCTGATCTGCGTAGCAGTCAAGGACCCACCTGGTTTGGTATTGGTGAAGTCAGTTTGATCTCTAAGCCCCATACTGTGGAGTATCTGGGCTGTGGGTGGAGTGAATGTGGGACTAATGAGGAAATGGGGAATAATGAGGGACTAGGGAATCAGGGAGAGATTTCTTGGAGCCAAATTTTAACGAATCACTTTGGAGCTGGCATGTAAAAATTACCGTGACTTCCTCTGCATTCCAATGATTATTTATTTATATTGTGTTAGTGCCCAAAAGCTCCACTGAGGTCTGGGACCCCTTTGTGCTGGGTGCTGTACAAATACTTAGTAAGAGGTGGTCTTTATCCTGAAGAATTTACAGCCTAATTAAGGCAAGCTGCAACAAATGGATGCTCCACAGAAATGAAGGGAATGGAAGGAAGAGAATGGTAACAGTGAAAAGCACATGGGGTTACATGGAGTCGCTCATATATATAATATTAATAAATGCCCGTGGCCCCCTGTCTAGCCATTGTCTAGCCAGTAGCTCTGAAATCTTGTCCTTCGTGTATGTGCCAATATATTAATATCTCTGATATGGGATTTAGAGCATCAGTCACTGAATGTCAAAGGAATTGACTAGGGGTCATTCTAGATTTCCAGCTTTTCAGCCCTCTTTGATCTTTGAGTCATTTTTCAGACCCAAATCTATCTACATGTCGTGCAGACGGCGAATTGTTTTTACTGTTCTGCTTAGTACTGAAAATGCATTGATGTCAGAAATGCTGACCCTGGAAATCAGGAATTATAGCAGTAATAATACAATAGTTAGCTTTTCTACAAGCTGAGAAAAAGAAAAGACACCCACATGACTTTACTGGCTTCTTCCTGGACACCCTGGTTTTCTTTTCATGTGCTTTGAATCTGAGAAAGCTGAGAACCGCTGCATGCACTTGTGTCTGAATAAACCACAGGATGGCGGTGTAGCCTCGTTCTAGAATCTAGACAGAAGATTCTACAGGTGCTCAGTCATCCCAATGGAGCAGAGAAGTTTGGACACTCTAGGTGCTCTGAGCTCTGACTTAAAACCAAACTACTTGCTCAGAGCACATTTGCCTACTCCCATAGTTCATTATACATCCTTTCCAAGCCAACTGGAGTGACTCTGTTTCCCCAGAGTCATTTTAGCCACATTGTGCTTAGCTACACTCCAGGCAAAACTAACTTGTCTTTTAAAAATGATTTTCTAGCAAGGTCTTTTTTTGTAGTGTCAACAGGGTTTTAGACTCTAGTGCTGTTAAGGCGTATGCCCGGGCTTTGCTGAGGGGTACAACCATGCTAGCTGGAATGTTTTTATAATGGCAGTCCCATCAGGAGACTCAGACTTCAGAGTGCTTTTTTGTTTTTTTCACAATGAAGCCAGTGGCATTGCATGTGCGTGTCTGTCTGTCTCTGTCTTTTCCCTTCCCCACACACATTCCTCAAGGCTTAGAGTTGTCCAGTGGTTTGTGTGGTACCTGAGGACTTGGGAGGTCTGGGTTCTTCAAGCTCTTGCTACCTCAGCTCACCATCTGTAAAATGGAGACGACAGCACTTCTCCAGCTCACCGGGGCATGTGAGGGTAAATGCATTAAAGACTGTGAAGTGCTTAGATGTTATGACGATGGGGGGCATATTAGTACCTTAGGTAGATAGACCACGTCAGTGTAGTTCTTCTACTTACAAAACATGGATGGACCACTGTTAAATAGAAACCAAAGCAGTTGGGAGGTGAGCTTGGTATGCACGAACAATTTAAAAAAACAAACAAACCTTTAACATTTGTTTTAACCTGACTGACCAAAACCAGTTAGTTTAAACTGGCTCCTCTTAGGAGGCTAATGCCTTGTAACATTACATTCTGTTTGAAGCACAGAAATACCACTTAAGAGACTGTCTAAAAATCCAAATCTGCTACCCATTCTCCTTTTATGAATGAGAGTAGAATGACAGAAGAGATGTCCCATCTACAGCCTGGCTGGGGACTGTGGCCTGATGGTGTGGAGGAGCCCCAGGATAAATTCGGGGTGTCCTGCTGGTCATTTTTAATCACGGGGAAGGTTTTATGATTTTGGGGTGGGGGGGGCTTTTTTTAATGTCCTAATTCTGCTGTATTTTAAGCAGGTACCTTTTGGGCTTAGTAATGCAGAATTTGGACTGAGCAGTGTCAGAATGTTTCTCCTTTTATTAAAGGTACATTTGCATGGGGCCAATATTATGATAATTGGGGGGCACAGAACTACCAGCATAGCTATGATTGCAGGAAAGCAAGGCAGGTTGTGATTTAGGGTTCAGTAAGTTCCATGTCAGCAGGCTCATGGGACTCGGGCTAAGGGGCTGTTTAATTGCAGTGTAGACGTTTGGACTCAGGCTAGAGCCCAGACTCTTGGACCTGTGAGGTGGGAGGGTCCCAGAGCTCGGGCTGCACCCTGAGCCCAAACATCTACACTGCAATTAAAGAACCCTTAGCCAGAGCCTTGCAAGCCTGAGTCACCTGGAGTGGGCCAGCTGCAAGTGTCTAATACTTAGTCCTGCCTTGAGTTCAGGGGACTGGACTAGATGACTTCTCGAGGTCAGTTCTATGATTCTATGATTTCTACAATTTCTAATTGCAGTGTAGGTACCCATAGATTCCAAGGCCAGAAGGGACCATTGTGATCATCTAGTCTGACCTCCTGTATAGCACAGGCCATAGAACTGCGCCAAAATAATTCCTAGATCCAATCTTTTAGAAGAACATCCAGTCTTGATTTAAAAAATTGCCAGTGATGGAGAATCCACCACAACCCTTGGTAAATTGGTTCAGTGGCTAATTACTTTCCATGTTAAAAATTTATACCTTATTTCCAGCCTGAATTTGTCTAGTTTCAACTTCCAGCCATTGGATCATGTTACACCTCTCTCTGCTTGACTGAAGAGCCCATTATTAAATATTTTCTCCATGCCAACTTTAATCAAGTCACCCCTTACCCTTTTCTTTGTTAAGCTAAATCGATCGAGCTCTTTGAATCTGTCACCATAAGGCATGTTTTCTAATCCTTTAATCATTCTCGTGGCTCTTCTCTGAACCCTTTCCAATTTATCAACATCCTTCTTGAATTGTGGGTACCAGAAGTGGACACATTATTCCAGCAGTGGTCATACCAATGCCCAATACAGTGTAAATTAACCTCCCTACTCCTACTTGAGATTCCCCTGTTTATCCATCCCAGGATCTCATGAGCTCTTTTGGCCACAGCATCATACTGGCACCTCATGTTCAGCTGATTATTCACCATTCCCAAAACTTTTTCAGTGTCATTGCTCCCCAGGATAGAGTCCTCCATCCTGTTAGTATGGCCTGCATTCTTTGTTCCTAGATGTATACATTTACATTTAGCCATATTACAATTCATATTGTTTGCTTGTACCCAGTTTCCCAAGCAATACAGATTGCTCCATAACACTGACCTGTCCCCTTCATTATTTACCCTTCCCCAAATTTTTGTGCCATCTGCAAATTTTATCAGTGATGATTTTATGTTTTCATGATTCCCCATTTCCTCTTACATTTTGAGACTTATCAGTCAAAATTTCATGAGTTTTAAGTCAATTTTGTGATTGTTGAATGCTTGGGAATGGCAAGACGGTGAAAGTTACTCACACGAGTGGGGATTTGCAGGATCAAGTGCTTGACATTTAATTCTGTGAATCCTGTTGGTACTGTACATTTTATTCTAGTAATGCCCACTAGATGGCAGTATAGTGTCTAAGGGGAAAATACAGTCATAGAGCCCCTATATTTGAGAGCCCTGTCCATGTTTATGCAAGTTCTGGAGACATCAGAAGGTGTTACTAGGAAGGAAGCATGGTCCCAGACCTCAGGGCATAGCTAAGAATGAGACTGACTCTTCAAAGCATGTAAAGAGGCAAGGTCCTTTCTCAAAGAACTTGCAGTCAGGCTCAGAGAAATGTGATGTACAGGGTGATGGTTCTGATGCAGGACCATGCTGGGATGCCGTCATGGGAGATCAGTGCAGAGAGGTTTAGGAGTGGTTTGGAAGACAAGAGAGAGGTTGTCCCCAGCATAGGCGGCAGTATGAAAGAAATCATAGGTACAGAGTGAGAGGAGAAGTTGGATGGAATTTACCCCTCACATTCAGGCTGTTGCTTAAAGCCTCCTGCTTCTTCCTCCACAGCTTCTTCACATTCTACCCTTGCTACCCATGCCCTTGTCCTTGCCTTGATTGTCTCCCACCTTGTGATCTTTCTGGCCTTTCCATCAGCTCCCTGGCTTCCCTCCAGTCTGCAAAATGCCACTGCCCTCACCCACAGCTCTGTTCGTTTCGCTTGCTCACACACACACACGTACGTCCCTTCTCTGACTGCATCATCTTCACCACCTACTTCAAACACCATGTCCCCCTACGCAAAGTTCTGCCAGCTCAGAACCCTCTGCTTCTCATCCCTGTTGCCCAAAAATCTCCTGTTCAGACCCTGCACGCCAGTGTTATCAGTTCTTAGGATATTTGGTGAGTTCCTTACAGTCTCAGTTCCTGGAGTCACAGGATAATGTGAGACTCTCAACTTTTGTTTAAAAAGACAAAGTAAGTTTCTAGCCCTTCCAGCTGCCGAGAAAAGCTTGAAAGTCTGATCCCTGCCGGCTCAAAGACCAGAGGGAGATAAGAACCACCTCAATATTTTTCATTTTTAGAATCTCCTGTTCTTAGGCCAATCTTGTGATTTTTATGGCATCTGACTCATGGTTTTTGAATGCTTGTGGTTGAGAGTTTTGGC